CGCTAGCGACTCTTAAGTTTAATTGATACTTATTGTTAGTGGATAATTACAAGTATCTAAGATTTATTTTGTAGAATTTGCGTCCAATGTGAGCCTACCGTCAAAAAAGTTATTCGTAATCCGAAAAGAAAGGTAGTAACTAATCCATTGTTTTCTACCATTCACACACAATAGGAATTTTAACATGTAATTTCATTATTGTCTAAATACTTGTAGAGGGGTGATTTTGGACATAGAAATAGGAATCTCAATGTCCAATTTCACAATCTAGTTCACTGAAATTGGACTTACATCCTGGTCCAGCGTACAATTTCACTCAATTCTTTTCAATATTAAGTCAATCACTATGAGTTCAAAATCTACCCATTAGACATTAGTGGAACACATCAATTCATAGTGAATGATTTACAATTGAAACTAGTTAAAAAAAACCTACTATTAAGAGAAATTAAAAAAAAATGCATTGGACATAATCTAGATCACTAAAACTAATACAAAAACTTCCATAACATAAAATAATACATTTTTAAATTAGTTAAAATACTCCAAGCATCAATATTTTAGGTTTTATGAAATTCATTCAACATAGTGGAAAAACACAAACCACATTTTTTTTTTTAAACTTTTTTTTTTTGGTCACAGTTTTGAACTTTTAAAAGAAAAGGGACGGTGAGGTTCGAACCCGCGACCTAGTGGTTCAAAAACGGGCTACGATGACCATTAAATCAACCGCTAATCCTTACATAACACATCCACATATGAAAGCTCAGAACTAGTGTAGTTTAAGATGAAAAGCCATGTTGGGTGGACACACTTTGGAGCACCACGGTCTCAACGGTGAACCCTGGTCCGAACCCAAAGAGCACACCCACTCGAGCCCCTCCCCTGTCGTGTTGAGCCCGTCATTGGCTGATGACTTCCTCATTTCATCCATATTAAATAGCACACAAGCACTCGACATGTTTCCATACTCACTCAACACATGCCTTGTGGCCCGTAATTTCTTGGGCTCAAGGCCCAACTTTAATTCTACTTGATCCAGAATTGCCGGCCCACCCGGATGAGCAATCCAGAAAATTGAATTCCAATCTGATATGCCTAAGGGACTGAATGCCTCAGGCTTTTCTCAATGTTCTTGGAGATTAGCACAGGCACATCCTTCATCAGTGTGGAATGTGAGCCCAGCTTCTCGGAGATGTCCCTCAATTGCACCATTGGGAGAATGGTCTGGATGGCCGAGATGAGCTCAAACAATGGCTTCTCGACTCTAATCACTGGGTCTGACCCAATCATGATTGCGGCCGCCCCGTCACCAAAAAGTGCTTGAGCGACAAGGCTATCCAAATTAGTCTCACTAAGCCGCAAAATGTAATTATAGTGATTTATGTACAAACCACGAGTACTCGAGCATATCGGTTATTCTTAGCCAAGTCTTTGGCGAGGCAGAGAACCGTGCCATTGGCAAAACAGCCTTGTTGGTACATCATGAAGCGCTTGACCGAAGGGCTAAGTCCGAGGAGCTTGGTGAGGTGGTAGTCTGCACCAGGCATGTCTACACCGCTGGAGGTGCAAAAGATCAGGTGGGTTATTTTGGACTTTGGGCTGACCCCATTCCTTGATTGCCTTTTGGGCTGCTTCTTTGCCTAGTTTGGGTACTTCAACCACCAACATGTCTTGCCTAGCACCTAGTGAAGGTGCCATGTGTTCACAAAAAACAGGGTTTTCTTTCAAAATTTCTTCTGTCAAGTGCATGTAGCGCTGTCTCACCATGGACTTTTCACTTGGAAAAGACCGCAAAAAACAAAGTGTTAAGAGATTAATTAGAAATATACTAGGTAACCCGTGCCTATATGAATGATTTTGTGAACGATGTTGGTGGCCGTTAGATCAGTCTATTAAAACAATTAGATGAATTTATTGAAATTTATCCGATTTTATATTATAGATATAAATTTATCTCATTTGCTCGGTGAGTGTACTTTTTTGTTAGTTTATTGGAGTGTCGTACAGTCTTTAAAAATTATATCACTAGAACTGTGACAAAAATTTACTTAAATATACGGAAGGAGATTATATCTTAAATATGCACTTGAATTTTTCTTTGAGCACTGTCGTGTGCTCACTCTTCGTTATTTGAAAGTAGTAATCTGGGTATGTACTTTGATCGAAACAATTTGGTGGCGCCCACAATGAAATCAATGACAGTGATTAATTAAGCATATATTTTAAGTTTATGCAGAATTGCTCCATTTTTTTTTTGGACTTATAGCAATAAAAGAAACGACTCCGTCTCTGATAGTATAGATAGAATAATACAGTTGGAAATTCTTTTAGATTAATTGTACCGGAGGTCCCAAAGTATGAGATTTATCTTGTTTTGCTCTCTAATATTTCAATTGCATCATTTTAATCCCTAAAATATTGAATATATTTATGCGTGGTCTCTCAAGCAGACAACGTCTAAATTACTAATAATTTTTTATTATAAACATGTCACGTAATACTTAAATACGAACAAAAAATAATTTTGGTAACTCATTCTGGGTGGATGTCCACCATTGCCTCATCACACTCTTTTGATTGATATTTTGGAGTTTGAAAGTCAAGTCATGTGTGTTGAGCTCTTTGATGTGTGAACTCTGTTTGGTCCAAAAAGTTACCAAAATTATTTTTTTCTCATATTTAAGTATTACGTGACAAGTTTATGATAAAAAAATTATTAGTAATTAAAATGTTGTCTGCTTGAGATATTACATAAAAACATATTCAATATTTCAGCGATCAAAATAATGTAATTGAAATATTAAAAATTCAATTAGAAAAATTCTATATTTTGGAGACTTTGAGTGTAATTAACCCAAAAATATTTTTTTTTTTTTGCAACGTCTCAAGACATTTTTTGCATGACTTGAATTTCGAACCCCAAAATATCAATCAAAAGAGTGTGATGAGGCAATGGCGGACATCGACCCAGAATGAGGATTGTTGCTGGTAAAAGCCAAAGGATGTTTCCCATAAGGAGGTGTTTTTTTTCTGAGGGTCTCGAAAGATTAGGAATTAATGGTAGAAGATTTTTACTAATCAATTGTTGCATTCTGATATGGACTTTCGATATGTAATTTCTAAAGTTTAAAAGAGTTAATTTTACCAAAAAACCGCTCTAAGGACATGTTTGTTCAGATTTGTGATCTGATCACGACCTATAAGTGTAATAATGTGCACATTGGGCATATCGGATCGATAAAAAACAGATATAAGTTCAATTTTTCTGAAAAAAAAGAAACAAGAACAGAAAGTTGAATCATTTGTAAATTGCATCTTATAGATCAAGCTTTGGCAGCAATCCATGTACAACAAACACAATCAACCAAGAACTGAACTTTTACTAGAAAATATGCTCAGATTGTGGCTTAAAAGTTAGAACAAAAATCTTTAAAGAGTAATATTCCTTGAACATAATTTACTGAATTAATTTGTCGATGTAATTATTTATAACTATTGAATTGACAATTAACTCCGGTATCTGTTGGGACTCGACTCGCAACCACTCCAACGGTTGTGATGGATTAAGTCTTTAAACTTGATCCAAATAACATTGTTGATCTTTAAATAACATGAAAGTATAGGGACAAATGGAAAAAAAAAAAGAAAAGAAAAAGGTAGATAGAAATATTGACGCTAAACTTATGTGAATAGGTATAACGTCGAAAGCCGGAGGAAGTAGTCTTCGACAAAGACACTGTTGTTGGGTACTTTCCCAACAACCTCTCTCTCTCTCTCTCTCTCTCTCTCTCTCTCTCACACACACACACACAAGGAGATTTACCTGTGTGTGTGTGTGGCAAGTTCCTCTTCAAATTAATTAAAATTTTGAAGCTTGTTTTGAATTTTGACGAAATAAAAAGTTCATCAAATTTCAAATTCAGCTACTTATTGCTCATGAAAATATCTTATGTATACCATAATAAAGTCATCCATGTATCTTTTTGATCTCTTTTCTTTTCCTTCTATTCATCAGATGAAGATGCTTTAGGTTTTGTTTTTGGACCCTTCTTTGAGTGGGATGGGAGATTGTGATGTAATTGTCCTTGAAAGTCTCGTTGCTCTTTTTGTTGAAAACATGAGGTGGGATGCGAAGTTTGATGGGAGAGTAGAACAAAGTCGACGTCACGAAATTTGGGGTAGATTGCTTAAGGGGGTAGCTTGAGATAGGTGCTAGATACCCTTCATTTAGAAATAAAAGAGTGACGGTGATGACGACGATCATGACCATACAGGATAACTTAAGGCTCATGCACTCTTGTTCTAAGTTGTTTAATGTCCTTTTCCTCTTCTGAACTGAAAGAGATGATAACGAATAATTACAATAGTTTTCTTGTCCTTTCTTTTATGGAACGCGTATAAAATACTCGAGTTACGAGAATTGTCACTATCTCTGATTTACCTCTAAGAGAAAATATTCAATGTAAAGATGGATACTATGTCATTATTATTACATGGTATTATCATTCAATAAGAAACTAACAAGTCAAGTAACAAACACGATTTAATAACTATCTCATTCATGTTAGATAATAATCACCTCATATAAAGAAATAAAATTCACTTATCTATTTATTTGACTTTTAATTAGATGATTATACCATATAACAATAATAATGTACTATCGACGTTACGTTTAAGAATCTTTCCACCTTCAATGTCTTTAGGAAAAACAACAGAGGCTCCTACGACCGATGGAAAATGGATTTAGGATCGTATGTATCCATTGTACATGACAATGATTAATCCAAAGAACACGAAAGCTTTTGAGATAATCTATCGTCCAAAAAAAAAAGGAAAAAAATGAGATTTTATATACTGTTATAGAAAAACGATCATTAGATGACATAATAAATATGAATATTTTGTAACTTAGACCAAACAATAATTAGCACATTATAAATTATAGAATAAACTTCTCAAACAGAAATAATTTCTTTATTTTAATTACAATCATCCCGAAAGTAATTCTTTTCATTGCAACATCACTATTGTAGGTCCTGTGAAAATTCATTCAACACCAAGGAAACACACACAAAGTAAATACACAACCAAGCCACAAATGGAAGTTGAGAAACGTTGGCCCGGTCAAATGAACACACTGTGAAGCACCACCGTCTCAACGGTGAGCCCTGGTCCAACCCAAAGAGCACGCCCCACTCGAGCCCCTCCCCGGTGGTGTCGAGCCCTTCCTTGACCGACGACTTCCTCATTTCATCTAGTATAAACAGCACACATGCACTTGACATGTTCCCATACTCACCTAGCACATGCCTTGTGGTTCGTAGTTTATCGGGCTCGAGGCCCAACTTCAATTCCACTTGGTCTAGAATTGCAGGCCCACCAGGGTGAGCGATCCAAAAAATTGAGTTCCAATCAGATATGCCCAAGGGCCTAAATGCCTCCACCAGGCTTTTCTCAATGTTCTTGGAGATGAGCCCAGGCACATCTTTTAGTAGGTGGAATGTTAGCCCAGCCTCGCGGAGGTGTCCATCAATGGCACTATCACTGTCAGGGAGAATAGTTTGGGAAGCCGAGACGAGCTCGAACAATGGCTTCTCAACTCCGATCACTGGGTCCGACCCAATTATAATCGCGGCTGCCCCATCACCAAAAAGTGCTTGGCCAACAAGACTATCCAAATGAGACTCACTAGGCCCGCGAAATGTAACTGCAGTGATCTCCGAGCAAACCACGAGTACCCGAGCACCTCGGTTGTTCTCTGCCAAGTCTTTAGCGAGGCGGAGGACTGTGCCACCGGCGAAGCAACCCTGCTGGTACATCATGAGGCGCTTGACCGAGGGACGGAGGCCGAGGAGCTTGGTGAGCTGGTAGTCTGCACCAGGCATGTCTACACCACTGGTGGTGCAAAAGACTAGGTGGGTAATATTGGACTTGGGCTGGCCCCATTCTTTGATTGCCTTTTGGGCTGCTTCTTTGCCTAGTTTTGGGACTTCAACCACCACTATGTCCTGCCTAGCATCCAGTGAAGGTGCCATGTATGCACACACATTGGGGGTTTCTTTCAGGATTTCTTCTGTCAAGTGCATGTAACGTTTCCTGATCATGGATTTGTCACCTGAAAAATACGGCATGAAAAGAGTTACAGATCATTAAAATATATGATTTTCTATCAATTTGCATCTAGGCATGGCACTGAGTCATGTCATGCTAAGTCGTATTCATATTAAAATTTGTTCAACTCATACACAATCCATTTGAAATTGTGTCCGGCGAAATTCATATTGTGTCGTTTTGATAGATTATGGTTGTATTTAGCTAGATTTGTCTCAATCTATTTATGTAACTGGTTTAGTGGGTCTATCCAAATTTGCGAAGACTAAATCCAACTCGTCAATTTTGTTTGGATTACAAATCGTGTCTATCATTGTTAGATACTTTTTGTTAGTCGATTATCGTGTACACTCTGAAATTACATCACAGATAAAAAATAAAGAATTCTTGACAGCATCAATGAGTTCAAGAACTGCAGACTCAGTCGAATCTTTAGGGTACTAAGAGCCTGTGCCCCTCCACTCTTTTAAGAACTGCAGGCCATTTGGGTTGTTGTGAATGAAAAAAATGAGCAGTTAAGTACAAAAAAAACAAGGGGAGGAAAAGGAATCTCGGATAGTATCTTAGGAGCGTAGTCTGAAAAAAATGGGTTTGGATTAGAACCAAATTGACACCAACCTATAATAAATGGGTTAACATAAATTCGGATATAAATAACACAAACTAGCTTTGATCTAAAGTCCGCTACCCATAGGTAGCCATTAGTCTGTTTTTTTTTTTTCGAAGTTATTTAGGCCTACTTTGGGAGAGAGTTCGCAAGTAGTTGCACTAACTCGTGCCTGATATATAACAGTTTTGATGTTTCATTTATAAAGAGAAAATGGTCAAGGTTTGAACCCGATATGATATAGTTTTTGTTATACGATTATAAATGTGTGGTTTATGTGTTGTACATATTGTGAGACAACACAACTCAAAACTATGTCACCCATTGCCTCTCTTTTTTTTTTTTGTTTAACGGTTAGGACTGTCTGAGCCAGCTTACACGCACTCGATTAATTTCTTTTTTGGTCCGATCAAAAGCTAGCTATCTACCCCGAAATTAAGGTATTCATAGTCTCAAGAAATTGTCGAGATTCAAACTCAAGATGTTACCCATTGCCAATTTTGCTTATTTTATAAAACATAAACTGCAGTCAAACGCAACCTAAGTAATTTATGATCATAAACACCATTTGATACCATATTGTTGTGTTTCTAAATCCTGTACATGCACAAGAGAGGTAAGCTCACCATGAATTATATATGGAGAAGCAAATAACATGATAATGAAGAGCTGTGAATACAATTCAACTCAAATATATATACAGAAGGAGATTGTATCTTACACATGCGCTTGAATTTTTCTTTGAGTTCTGTCATATGCTCACTCTTTGTTATCCGAAAATAGTAATCCGGGTACGTGCTCTGGTCGACACAGTTTGGTGGCGTGGCTGTCCCGATGGCCATGATCGTTGCTGGGCCATCGGCTCGTTGTGCCCGCCGGATCTCCTCCACGGTCACCATTTTTAGCAGTGAAAATTTAGGGTGGTTGGACCTTGTGTTTGAAGGCTGAAGAACCGGCTGATCTGTGTGTGTGTGTGTGTGTGTGTTTGTGTTTGTGAAAAGAAGTTGATGATATGATGTGATTTATATACTTGTGGTTTAAGGTATGGTAGCTGGGAATCACGTGCCTGATCTAACTATGAAATAGTCCAAACGGTTGGGATTCTGGATGGCACGTGACTTAAGAATCAGTTTATCTAAACTAATTGCCAATCAAACCCTCCACTTTGAAATATCCTACCTAATTCCAAATAGAGAAATAAAAAAAAAGTTGCTAACACCCTTCAGCTGGGATTTTTTTTCCATGAATAAATGCTATTTGTACGCCTTAAAACCGAATAAATCAAGTTTCAATAGTTAAGAAATTGTTCAAATGCTCTGCCATATTGGAATAAGCGTTAAACCAGTCAATACTTGACATGCAAAAAAAATATTTGGTGTAACTACTACACTACATTAGCAGTATCACGTGGTATAACTGTCCACTAATAAGCAAGCCAACAAGTGAGCCCCGCAAAATACATAATCACCTCCATGAAGAGAAATAAACCCCATTTTATATTCATTTTTGTATTGGATGGTAACAACACTCAATATTTACTCACAGCAATGGGACACTATAATTTGGGGGCCTGGCCTACCATTCGTAAATTAAACCCACAAATTAGGTTCAAATAATTTTTTTTTTTTTTTTTAGTTACTCGCAATTAGCCTAGTCAAGTGTGTTTGGACTTGTATGTCTATGTAGTAAATTAAAAATGCACACAATCATCACTCACAAATAATGTGTATCGGGTTATTTAAGATGTCTCCTGCAAGACTTGAACATGGAATCTAAAAGCATCAATCACTGACTTTGCACCATATAACCAGTAACCACCTTACAGGGTTGAAGCTTTAGAGTTTTTTCATAAAGTGTGTGACCCATAAATTGCAGTAACAAGAGGAGGGACATTGCTTGTATGACCCAAAATGAGGACTGTAGCTGGTAAAAGCTAAATGGGTGTTTCCCATAAGCTGCTGTTTAAGAGAGAGAATGTAAAGATTATGAATTAGTGATAAAAGGATTTTATTAGTCTTTTTTTTGGCTGCTTCAAACAATTTGTTAGTCAATTGTTGTATTTTGATTCGGATGTTATTGGTAAGTCCGGACAAAATTATAATGAAAGGGTTAAATTTTTAAACTAAAATTCATTGTAAGCATGTGTATTTTGAATTATGTATTACAATGTAGAACTCGGATGCAGAATCAAAATAGTAATTAAACATTTTTTTTACTATTTTGACGCTATTTTTTCTTCTTTTTTACAAAAAAGTATTGCCAAACAATTGATATATTATTATTATTATTATTATTATTATTTGCTAGCCAAAAAATGTTCTAGCTATGAGAGTGAGATCCACTCCAATTCATTTTTTTTAATTCTCTTCTTAACGCATCATACATCATACATTTAAGTGAAATTCATCGTATTAAAATGGGCCCCTCAAAAAGAATTTTTTTGAAACAATGTATTGAAAGAGATGTTAAATGTCGGAGGAAGAACTTTTCTACGAAGACAATTTGTTGCTGGGTAGACTTTTAGAGCAACCCCCTCTCTCAAATATTTATTATAACGGTGATATCACGTGGTAAGGTGATATGATATTATTAATCAATAACACTATAACAAATAAATAAATCAATTTGATATAATAATTAATTCTTCACCTTTTTATCATATAAGTTCAAGTAGGATCTATCGTATAATAATGGGCCCCTCACTTATTAGTGACAGATGATCCGCCAAGAAAGAAATTTTTTAAAACAATGTATTGAAAGAGGTGTCAAATGGCGGCGGAAGCACTTTTCTACGAAGACAATTTGTTGCTGGGTAGACTTTTAGAACAACCTGGCTGGGAGACTGTTAGAACAACACCTCTCTCTCTCTCTCTCTCTCAAATAATCTCTCTCTCTCAAATAATGATGATATCACATGACAAGGTAATATAGTATCACCAACCAATAATATTACAATAAAAAAATAGATCGATCTCATAAAAATCAATAACTAAGCTGTTATGTAAGTAAATAATTTTCCACCATTCTGTCATATAAGTTCAAGTGGAGTTCATCATTCTTATTTAGAATTTTATTATTGATTGGTAATATCATGTCATCAATGGTGACATAGTGTCACTGTTGCATTCAATATTTACCCTCTCTCTCCTAGTAATGGACCGAAATTTGGGGAGGAACGATGGTTTTGAAAAAGATTGACAGCAGTTCCACTAGAGTAGGGGTAAAAATTTGTAACTCAAACACGATGACACGACTCGAATTCGATACGAATTTTATGACATAAATTTGATTATAACTCAACACGAACTCGAAAATGACTCAACATGCGAACACCGAATATAAACGTGTAATGTTCGTGTTCAACCTGTCAAATCCGAAACTGACATGATCAACCCGTTTATTTAAGAATAAACATTTTCTCTATTTTCTCGTTTGTATTGTAATATGAACAATACGAAATTAACACAAAATTAATATGTTTAATTAATATTATAGAAATAAAATATTAATTATTTGTAACTATTTATTAAACACTGATATAATTATTGAATAAAAAGATATTATTATTATTATTGTTATTATTATTATTAAGTTAATTTTTAGTTTATAAAAAAAATGAGTATTGATTTAATTAAGTGAAAATAAAATATTAGCGTTAAATTTTTAATTCAAAATTTATGTGGATCAACACGAATACGAACACAAAAATAAACAGATTAACTAGACAAGACATGACTAGTTAAATGAGTTGAGTTAAAATTGACTAATATTCAATACGAACCCGATTCGATTATCACCCAACACCGGGGCTTTCTACAAATCTAATGCTAGTAAAGTTCAAATATGTATATCTATTCCACTTATATTAAAGAGTGATGGTGATGAGAATGAAAAGACAATCACCATTTATAAATCTACTAAATTATAAGAACATTTCAATTAAAAATTCAGATAGAATTGATATCCTAAGTGCAAAAAAAAAAAAAATCTAACTTGAGATTAGGGAAAACGTAAACTATTCCGAGCCACGGAGAGGGGAGATCCATTTTAATCAAGCTTTTAGGAGTTTCTTTGTAAATGAATGTAATTGGTATTAAATTTAGAGCTTTTTGCACTTTGCACCTTGAAAGATTTCAAATTTTTTACTTTGTACTCTCAAAAATTAAATTTCTCACATCATACCATAAATATATCAAAAGTATTGCAATGTAACTCATCTGTTAGCTTTATTTATTTTTTTCGTCAAAAGTCAACTCATTGAAGGTGACTAAAAAATTAACAGAAAATTAACAAAAGAGTCACATTGTAACACTTTTGATACATTAAGTGTGTAATATAAAAAAAAATTAATCTTTAAATATATGAAGTGAAAAAGTTAAAATCTTTCCAGATATAAAGTACAATTAACCCTTAAATTTAACTGAAAATTAGGTTGTAAAACTCTAGTCTCCAAGTAACATTTCAATGCTTTTGATTTTTGATTTTTGATTTTTTTTGGTTCAACTGTCAGGAGTGTCTAGATCAGCTTATGTGCACCTCGACTAATCTCCTCCCTGATCCAGTTAAAGGCATATCATCTACGCCGAGAATAAGGTATTCATGAGTGATAAATCTCTCATGACTTGTCTCCAAATAAGATATTTGAACTCTGGATTTTATTGTTTAACTTTGCCAAAATAGTGATTATTATGCTTTGTTTGGTAGGATGGATGAAAAGTCAGAGTGATATATTTTATATCCTCTAAGAAAAGAAAGTAGAAAATGAGACACTTTCTTTTCTTTGTATTTGATAAGATGGATGAAAAATAAAAATGATTATTTTTTTTTTTGTGTTTAGTACGATGGAAAAAATATTTTTTTTAATTTTTAATTTTAATTTTTTAAAAAAGTATAAATACATATTTTAACATTGTATATATATATATATATATATATATATATATATATATATATATATATATATATATAATATCTGTATAATAAAGTAAATATATTGTTTGTCTTTAGCTATTTGCGGCTCAGATCATTTGAGGAAATTATTTATTTGACGGTTCTAATACAAAATTCCTCCTCCTAATTTTTTGAACAAGACTTTTATTCCTTCTACAATTCTAAGACTCTTATCTCTCTTATAACCGTCTCTCTCTATCTCATATTATCTGATGCTCATGCAACTCACACGTCTCTCTCAGTCTGTTCTTTCTCCCTCTCACATGCTGTAACGATGAGTATAAAAATTAATCGCTAACACATTAATTAGGTTGTTAATTATGATTTTATATAATTAAGGATTATTTTTAGAAATTTCAAATAAAAAATGAACCTTAAATACAAATTATTTGTATGAAAACGAGTCAAATGACTATAATATAGGTCATATTTCGTATTAAAATAAAAAATATTACAATGTTCGAATTATATTATAGGCAAATAACATATATGTAATTTGTGATATATCTATATAATAAGGGAGCTAATATTGTTTGTCTTAAACTTTTTTGTGACTCGAATTATTTTAAGATTATTGATCAAACGATTGAAACTCTTCCTCTAAATTTTTTTTCCGCCTGAAAATTACAAGAATCTTTTGATTTTACTTCATTATCGGTTCGAATTAATTATGATTGGAATTCAAATTAAGTTGAATTTGATTGTTGAATATAAAATATATATTTTTGCTTAAACTTAACTTTGCTTGAATTTGATGAGTTCAAGTTGACGTCAAATTGAAATTGAGGACTTGACTATGGTATCGAAATTTACCATATTTGTGATAACTTTTATAACATTTGTGAGTAATTTTACTACTGTTGTGGTACCAAAAAAAAAAATGATAAAAATAGTTACCACAATAGTGGTAAAAAACACACAAATGTAGTACAAATACCCACAAATGTGG